CTCGAGCCAGCTTAGCTCAGAACCTTACAAACAAGCTGGCAGTTGTTTCAACCTGGAGCTCTCTTCGCTCCGAGAGACAGCATCTGAACTACATCTCCAAAAATGCGCATTTCGAGTTTGCAATACTCTTTCTTGATGCCGTTGCCAATACAAGGTTTTGATTCCGTCCTCGCCACTGGAGTGTGCCATGTCATTTGTTTGCGCGTTGTTCCTACCTCCTTGTCATTTCGGATAATCTTGATTTGTCATGGGGTGTCTGTCCTTTGTGTCTTCTTATTCTTTGTGTCGTTGTCGTGTGGTCGTGGTCGTTGTCGTTTTTGTGTCGTCGTCGTCGTGGTCGTTGTCGTCGCATTTGTTGTCGTCGTTGCCGTGGTCGCCGTCGTTTCTCTGTATGTTGCTCAGCTGTTTCATGGTCCTTCGATGTCTTGCTTCGTGCCTTTCGCTCTGTGTTGGCTCTAGGTCTAGGACCCTAGGACCGACTGTTGGAGTCATTCTCTTGGTTTGCACAGATGTTTCTCACATCTTCGGCATCACTGCTTCTCGCTTGGCCACTGCATTGGCATTGGCGCGTCGTTTTGTTGTTGTCCTTGTTTCCTTTCGTCAATGATGTTCAGTCGTTGTGCAATCGTGTTGTTCGTCAATGGTTGCCAAAAAGCCACGATTTCCCGGAGCAGTTCCATATTCTGCAATAGCAGTACGCTTCACATAAATCTGTATCGTTGTTGTTGTTGCTGCTGCCGGTCTTGATAGCTTCATCGACGGATAGTGCCAACGTTAACGATGTTTTGGCACGAAAAGCAGCACATCGAAATGAAGCTTACGTTGACACAGCTGAACAATGCCTTTGTCAGGGTGTCAGAAGCTTCATCGGTGCCTGCAAGAGATTTATCGGTTCATGTTATTCGATTCTTCTTGTTTTCGCCGAAGATGCAAGACTTGTTGATCCAGTGGGTTCAAGCGAGGTGATTTTCTGCGGCACAAGTTCTATAAGGCTAGAGCAGCGGCATGTCTGAAGCAACTAGCAACGTGGCCAGTGTGGCTTGACTAGATCGGCAGGCCTGGCAGACCGCCCGCCTGGACGTCTTGATATGCCCAGTGTATCCGACTCCTGCTCCACATGTGGATGAGGCGGCGGCAGCATCGACATGTCAGTGACAATGCTGTAGCGAATGTGTCTACTCAGCTTCGCTCTGTCAGAGCACCCCGGCTTTTGGAGATGGGTTGTGCTCCACCCGGGTTGGACCCCTCAGAGCTGAGCCTTCCCAGCAAGGCAGAACTCTCTTTTATCACACCTGCGGGGTTATGTTCGACAAGTTTTCTTACGGTAGTCTCAGACCGTCAAATTCAATTGCAGTTTTCGAGAAGCAGGTCAGAAACGCAGCAGCTCAGTCGCAGCTTGAGACCAGAGCGAACCATGTCCGTTTCCATGCATCAGGAAGGACTGCAAGATACTGACACTGCCATCTTACAGTACTGGCCGACACTTCTTGAGACTCGAGGCGCAGACGACGATCTCAACGCGAATCTTCAACATCCTTGATATGCCTGCCGGTGTTGTCACCGTGACATCAGTCCAAGAGACCGAAGCTGTGCTTGGAGGTATCGTTTTTGGTGTTTCGGAAGGTGGCTAAGGGCCCTGTAGAGCAGACTGCGAGTGCATAGGTTTAGAACCGAGTCGAGCGAGGGTATATCGTGATTCTGCAGTCACTGTTTTGTGACTTCCAAACGGTCGACTTGAAAGGATTTGACGGAGCCTTATGAGACGGGCATTGAGAATCCACGCATCAACAGAGCCACTTGCCTGGACTGGGACTGCTGAAAGGTGTTCAAAATTTGTCCTGGCTTACCGCTCAGATGGTCACCCGGGCTGCAGAAGATTCGCTCGGACTTCCAGTGGCCCTGCAGCTCGTAGCGCTACCTTGGAGGGAAGAGCTTTGCCTTCGCGTGATGACAGAGCTGGAACGAGCTCTACCGCCACCAGGCAGCTCCTGTCTCTCAGCAGTAGGGAGTGGAGGTGCAACGTCTGCAATCAAGGAGACTCAGATTGCGTCGGACCTGGCAGGTCCTCACCACACGCTTGCGCCAGAGCCCAGGCCCTTTGCCGTGGCACAAACGAAAGCTCCGCCTGGCTTGGATGCCTCGCATGTCAGGCGGAGCCCGACGCTCGGAGCCGCACCGGTGCCAGTGCCACAAGCAAGGCTTTGAGCGCGAGCGAGTCGCGAAAATCGAAAAAGGCATCCCAGCCCAATCCTGCCTCTCAAAGAGTTGCTGGGCACGGCAAACCGACAAAGATGGATGATGTCGGGATGTTTCGAAATTCCTGTATTTTTCTTCTGCTCCTGCCCATGGTGGTTTTGGTTTTGATATTCAGTACTGGAGATGTTTTGCAACTGCCCGAAGCAAAGTCTGTGACGGCAATCGCTTGAGGGTGCATGCAGACATATACAGGCGCTTTTTCTGCCAAGGCCTTGGCGTTGCAGCTGGCAGACAGTGAAAAGGTCTTTGGCTCAGAAGTTTCCCAGTCTCAGTCTCGCTCTCTCACTCTCAAATTATTGAGGCCATGGCTGAGCTCCGCAAGGAGAATGAAGCTCTCAGCAAGGCTCGTGGCTCGCAGTCGAAGAATGAACATAACGCGACTCTAGCTCTGACAGGGAGGATCTGCAGCAAGCAGGAGCTGGGTGCTGGACATTGCGGTTGGAGAATGCGAGTTTGCAAGTGCCCCATGTTTCCGATGCTTGTTACATATTCGCTCCATGTTCGTGGGCTACTGTCGCAGACGATCCAGCACACTTGGGCAGGTGCGTTTGCGTACTTCCTGGAAGTGCAGCTTCAGGGCCACGCCGAGAAGTTATCCTCTCAGTACGTATCATTGTCTGGTAGCGTTGCTGAAACACGATCTCTCGGTCTGTCGGCCTGGAAGGCGCCGTACCGAGACTTCACCGCCCTCGGAACGTCCGGTGTTCGCGAATTCCAGCCTTCTGCCTCTCGCCGTGGAAATTCCGAGACGTGGATAGTGACTGTGGCTTGCCTGTGCATTCCGAGGTTAACCGTAGGTACGGACTTTGCGGAGGAGAATCTGCAGGCCACACGCAGATTGAACTCACGGCGCAGGCCGCAAGTCGAACTTAGGGGCGCCGAGGTGTCGGCATTTCTGAATGTGGTGGATCCTTCCGCTTCGGAGGCTGCGCCTGCGGCCCCTTTCTCAGTTGCAGAACCGGTGCACGGCACGGTCTGAAAAGAAGTGTTTTTGACCGAGGCAAAACTTCTCGGGACGGGAGTCTTGCCCCTCCAAGAGTTGAAGGTGCCCGGATGTTGGGAGCGGGCATCTCCACAGGCAGACGCTTTATCTCAGATTCCCATGCTTGGCTCGAGTGTGGTGGAGCTGTTGGGTTTCAAGCATTACTGGTGTCAGCAAGTTGGTCAACACTGCGCATGGCAGCCCGTCATTACGTGAGTCGCACAACTTCGGAGCCGTAGAGTCAACTAGCCACTTGAGCCCCCCGCTGCCCAAAGACCCAAAGCCGGAAGCTCAGAGGCAGAAGGTGCGTCCTTGCATCTTGAAGACACTCCAAGACAGGTAGCACTTGGTTCATGCACCGGTCCACAAACCATGGCATGGGCCGCGAGCTTAATGCAATGTCGGAACCTTAGTATCTTCTCGAGCTCTCCGCCGTGCTGAGCAAGGTCAACAACAACAAACGCAACGCCCGCACTTTGGCAGCAACCGGTCGGAAGGGAAGAGATGCTCCGAACAACCGTGCAGTTCTCGCAACGATGAATTGTATGGTGACCTTGCTCCATGCGATCCGATCGCCTGCAGGACATCATGACCTACAAGACATGTCACGAGCAAATTGATCGTCTCGCTTTGTTGCTACCAGCCCCGAGAAACGGTCAGATTGCTATCTCTCTTGACTAGCTCGTTTTCTTGACTTTTGTCACGTAGTTGTAAGCCTATCTTTCGAGCTTCAACCCTGGTAGTGCAGGATATCAGAAGGATATCAATAAGCAGCTAGAGAGAAGTCGTAGTGCTGAGGGGAATTACGGGAATGATCTTCTCCTGATAATGGGAGAGTTGGAGATTCCAGCATGTGATGCAAGTGTCTCAGTGAACAGCAGACGGACCATGTCATAATTAATTCACTGTTTGGTGACATGCAACCAAACCAAACTGCTTGCAACCTACAGCCATCAGGCTTCAATCCAAATCGCCGAGACGATCGGTTGCTGGATGCAGAGGTGACCGCGCGGCGGCATCCGCGGCCGTTCCCCGCCTGAGCTTTTTGCAAACACTGGTTTGCTGGCATCGCACCCGGTGCAGTCGTGTGCACAGGCAGAAACCTGCGGAGGATGATGATTCGGACAGCGAGGAACTAATCAACACGGAGCCAGAGCCTGGCTCTCAAGTGGAAGGTCTCAGGTCATGTCCGGGCCCCCTCTGTGCCGGTCAGGTTCGTTCTCAGCATGGAAAGCGACTCCCGCGTGGACTGGCGAGATCCTGAGTAGTTCCAGTTGACTGAGAGGAAGAGTAATGCCATCCGAGGCTACAGATGGCACTCATGCAAGCGGCCGAAGGAAAACTGAAGGCCAGGTTTGTATTTATGGTTGTGCTTCAAAATGGATCATGAACTTCGCCATGTCTCCGCCACGATTGTAGATTCCTTGTATTTCTGCCTACAGCCTCATGCGATGTTTCCTGAACCCTGCGAACATCTACGATGGAGTGTGTGGATGACCTCTGTGTCCCTGGTCTGGTTGAGGGTCGGGTATATCGCCGAATGGTCTTAAGAGTGGTCTTCTTTCAGAGCGGATTGGGTTTCGCAAGGTCTTCGCAAACTCTTAGAGTCCTAGAGCGGCCCTGCATTGTGGAGGGTCTATGATTCAGCAATGTGAAACGTCTTCGCAAATATTCTCGTCTAGATCTACAGAATCTACAGGTTCACTCCTGTCGGGCCTTCTGTTGGGCTTCTTTCCTGGCTGTCCGACCTTTCGGGCCTGGCAGAACTTCGACCTGTATCGAGAAGAGCGCACCAGCGGCTTCGCATGGGTCGCACATTTTCCGTGTCGCGACTGGGGGACTTCGACGGTCGCCGTCCGAACAGGCTGCTGCGCTTTACGAGGTGCAGAGCTTACTTTCCCTTGGGGCTTCCTGATCGTTCGGATCTCTACCCGGTGCTCGGCGATTCCCAAGGTCATGAAACACAAGACTTTTGTGCCCAGCGAACTCGCTCACCGGAGTAAGCTGAAGGTACGTGGACTGCAATGAGTAGATGCGGTGTTCTCGCGACATTCAAGAGAAACAGTTCCCACCCCCGAAGCTTGCCAGAACATGAAAGGCCATGTTGACTGCCAACCTGCACCTCTTCAGTGCCAAGCACAAAAAGGCTGAAGCACGTTGTAGCCGGGCTATGGCGTCAAAAGGGCTGCGAGTTGAGGTAGCTTTTTGAACTTGGTTGCGGCCAGGTCCTTGAAGATGCCGCGAACAGCTGGGGCTCTGAGGGTGCGTCACGGGAATGACTGGGGCCTTGCCTTCACTCTCAATTTCCGCTCAGCGCAGGCTCAAAGGGCAACAAGGCGCGACGAGCTGGCCTTGGCAAAGTCTTTGATCCAACAGCTGAAGTTTCAGTGAAGCGAGACGAATGTCTCACCCAGGTGCAAGCACCAGCGATAGCAGCAGCAGCAGCAGCTCAAGTCGAAAAGTGAGCAAAAAAGAGGCAACATGGGGCTTCTAGATTGAGACATGGCCTCGCATCTGGCATCTTCCGGACATTGCATTCATAGGCGAAGGAAGTGGCAAAATCGAATGCAGGCCCGCGAGCTGAGCTGCAAACTGTAGCAGCTAGAAGCACTCGGTGCTTGTGTCTACGTGAGTGACCCATAGTGAGCGGAGGCACAGGCAAGCTTGCAGTCATTCTTTGGATGCCGATCCCCGTCCATAGCATGTTAAGAAACGTCCTCTGTGAGATTCTGATCGACGGCGCAGTCGGAGCATTCGCAAGAAGCGTGTGAAGCTGAGTCAACACGCTCCTTGGGTGGTTTTGCGAGTTTTGCTCGTGGCTGCCACGAGGATCAAGCAGCGACAGCAGCAAGCTGAGGAAGAACAACAAAGAGGTCGAAGCGTGCACTTTGAAGCGGCTGCTTTCGTAGTCGTAATCCGTGTCCTTGCATGTACCCGGACAAAGGCGAAGGACAAAGGCAAAGACAAGGACAAAAGCAGGGGAAAGGTCAAGGAGAAGAAGGAAGGTAAAGACAAGAAGGAGAGCAAGGATAAGAAGGTCAGCAAAGACAAAAAGGAGGACAAAAACAAGGATAAAGCCAAGGACAAAAAGCGGCACAGCTCCAGCGGTGACCTCAAGCGATGTGGCAAGTAAAGACCTTGCAATCACATCCATTGTCGTCCGAGGTACATCATCTTCGCGGAAGAAGCTGCAAGCTCAGACTTCAGACCTTTCCTATGCCTCGCTACAGCAGCGGTCAAACATGCAAAGGTGGCATTTGCAGGTACCGTCTCAATTGAGTTCTTTTGTCTTGCTATAGTGACTTTTTGTTGCTGTTGTGGCGCTGATTGGGGCACCCCGGCCCCCTCCCCCTGCAAACAACAGCGAATAAGCAGCCAAAAAGTAAATGCGCCCTGGCGCAGAGTGCTTGCAGAGCTCCCCTTGCGTGGGAAATGCTCACAGCGGTGGGCATTCAAGGATGCCTTGGACGCACGTTCAGCCACGACAGCTGACAAGGCAGCAAACTCCCCGCCATCAAATGCAAGCCCCGCCGTAACAATCAGCAGAAGGACCCTGAGCCATGATAGCACAAATATCTGTTGGACGCCCTCCGTGAACACAAAACACTGAAAGCACACCTACATAACATCCCCAACAACCGGCGAAATCCACAGGCTGCAAACGCCAGCATGAATCATTGAAACTAGCCTGTCGGAGCCCGAAGCAGGACGCTAGCGGGACCATGCATATCCAGGGCCTGAAGAGATGCGTTTCTGGTGCTCGACCACACGGGCGTGATGCTTCGAGTGAGGTGGGATGGGGACGTGAAACGCCCAAATCAGGCCTGGCTGCATTTGTGGCATTTTGGGCATCAGACTTGTTGAAAACCAGGGCCGGCCAAATGCTCTGCCTTGGAAATTGGAAACTGTATCTGGCCTTCTTCGGAGCTCCGGCAAGTTAGTTTGAAGCAGCCTAGCTTTTAAACATTTCAGATTCAACTCTAATCGGACCCCAGATCATCAGAGATCTGTCTAAGCGAGAGCTGGGGCAGCAGTTTTGTCCAAACAAGGCCCAATGCAAGCCCTAAAACATGCACTTCCACTTGCCTAGAGCTTCGAGAACTTGGCAGAAGAAGCGCGTCGTGCGACAAAAGGCGGATTGGGGCTTCGTGTAGGCTCCAGGAAACTATGTTGAAGCAGTTTGTGGCCTGCGGGATGTAGTACCAAAGACCAGTAAACCAGTACCAAATGCCTTTTTCAAGCCTCTCTGGGCCTGGTGTGAATGTCGGGCGCAGATCGGATCATTTTTGGTAAGTTAAGCAGTTTTTTTTCATGTTCGAGCGGTCAGCTGACTTTTCGACCCCCTCACCGTGATAAATTCAAATTTGAGAAGTCTTAAGATAAAGTCCATGCATGGTTGACCTAGCCCATCCTCGTCAGTTGCAGCGCGTGTCTCTGTTCCATACGCCGCAGCGCACTGCGCTGCCAGAGATGTTGTACAAGGGTCATGCAAAGCTCGCACCGTCTTTTCTTTGCCCACCAGTGAATCTTCTCACTGGATGGTTTCTCCTAGCCAATACTTGTACTCTGTTAGAAGATCTTGTGAAAGAACGAAGGCAATCTGTCCTTAGAACCGATGGAGTTGCTGGAACAGCCATAAGCCAGAGCACAGTTTTTACACCAAGGCGCGCAAGATCGCGATCCAAGAGTCGGCGTCTTACCGGCTCGTTTGACAATTTTTTTGTAGTTTGCAGCAGCATGCTCTAGTGCAGATCAATTCGATGGCCAGGAAAGCGCTAGCCTAGATGCAGCACGCCCCATGCCTGTGGCCCTCGATGCTGTGAGCATCTGATTTGCCCTGCGGCTCGACTGGTCTGCGGCACTGCAGACCACTGCAGAGCGGCAACGGTATGTGACGACGCGGTGGGCAGCAACTTGAGCTCTCGCTGGTGTCCTTTGCTGACAAGAGCCGAAGGCGACGTCAAAGGTCAGCATCTAGCAGGCAGACTCAAGGCGGTACCAGCCTATGCACCAGCATGAAGCTTTAGCTGCTTAAGCTTTTGGCTTCGCAGTTTTCAACCCCCAAAGAGAGAGCGAACAAAAAGAAGCTTGTGATAAATCATTGCCAGCTGCCAGCTCGCCCGTGCAGCTCGTGTGCTTCTCTTCTTCTCTTCTTCTCTTCCTGTGCAGATTACGGAGCATGCGACGACTTCGAAGCGTTTGGCGCGGAAGGTGCCTCGACCTGTGGGAGAGAGCATCTGGTCCCACTCTGGTTGTGTCTTGCTTTCCGAGAAGCTTGGGAAGGTGAACTTCGTCCGGGCACCGGAGGGAGGAGAAGGTATCCAGTGCCGGTCTCGCTCTTGCAGTCATAGATTCAGGAGCATGATTGACAGGAAAACCTTTGGTTGTCGGTGTCGTAAACATCGTGATGCAGGCCAGCTAGCAGAAGTATTTCTCTTCTGCAGCAGGAGATCGTGGCATATCGTGGCTTTGCATTGGCCACTAGCAGGTTAAGGCCTTGAGCTCCGCACCAGCGCCAGCGGCTTCTGGGTCTGACACTTAGCAGCATGCCCGGCGCAAGCCGATCATTCAGCTTCAAAATTGCATGAGGCTCGATGCGGCACATACAGTTGCCTCAGCTGTGGCACCTTCTTTGGACAAATCCCTCTGGCAGACGAGGCCATGTGTATCAAACGCAGTTTTTTGGTGTTCCTGGTCGCTCTGTGCAGGCCGTTCGAAAGTCGGCTCCACATCCTGGTGCACCGAGCCGACGCACTTCCGGCCAATGTCCTGGAAGTTTCTCCTCTGTCTAGTGTGACACTCCGGCAGTTTTGGCCCAGGTGCCAGAAGCCAGCGCGAAGGCTGTGGTGCGGGTGGCTGCAAGGCCTGATGCCGGCACTGCTTCTGCGTTGTGGCTCATGAGAGCACACAACGAGGCTGCTTCAGCCCGGCGGCCATGTGCTGCAAGAGTTGGCTCCTGTCTCAGATGGCTCTTCTGCAGAGCTGCTCAGAGCCTTGCTTGTTGACAAAGGCCTCCCGGAACCTTCCGGTGGAGCCAGTGACGGCTCACATGGGTGAGGCGCCACGAGAAGAGCTAGATGTCCGACGAATATTCTGCATCTTGCTGCAGGTTTGGTTCAACCAGGAGATCGTGATGCCGATGTCAGCATCGATGCTAGAAGCATCTGGGCACAGCTGGCATGACAGTCGCGGCGCAGTGCTTGGATTTGAGAATGTGCCTTTGGCCAGGTTGCAGGTTGGACTCGCCTTGGAGATGGCGCGGGGCTTGGAGTGAGCGAAGCGGTCTCCGAGAGGATGAGTCGCAGCCGCAGGCAAATCCCCCACCCCTGTGCAGGTGTCTTCAACGCCAGACGGTGCTTTGACGGACTCCTTGCAGGAACCTGAGCCTTGAACTCTTGTCTCGAGGTGTGTTCCGTTTTGCCGGAGCAGCATTTGCTGCCCTTTGAGGCTGAACCTCCAATGGCCGGGAACCAAAGGGCAGCAGATTGGCTTGATCACGAGTGCAACGGGGTTTGCCGAGGTCGCCATCCTCCCTGCCGTTTCTGAATCCCATCCACCTCCATGCCAGGCCAGGGACTCCTTGGAGTTCAGGGCCGTTTGCGGTTTTAGCGTCGTCAGGTCCTCTGCCGCCACCAGTGCCTCCAGCGCTTCGAGACCTCGACCTGGGCTCTTGGCGCGGGAACCGAGATGAGAGGACGAGGGTGTCAAGAGGTTTTTGATGGTTCAGTACCTCACCGGACACCGAAGCCCAGTCTCGCGGTCTGATTCATTGGCAAAATTGGGGAAGGTGGGAGTGGGGGTAAGGTCCGATAATGTCCACATATCTTAGCACATCGCGTTGCCGTTCATCCCCACTCAAGGGATCGCAGTTGACTTGATGTGCTGGGCAATAGAAGCCGTTTTCGGGAGCTGGGACACTCGAGCAGCCCGGTCCTTCAGGCATCGACTAGGAACGAACGGATGCTCGAAACCCAAACTCGCATTAAGAACATGAGGGCCTTGTCGCACAGGCCCGGTTGCAAGGCTGAAAATGCTGAACTCAGGTGCCTGCGTTGTTGCATTCCGGATGTTGTTGTCAGGCGGATGATCGGATGCAGGGCTCCAGATGCAAGGATGCGCGTTCGTTCTGCAGCTGGTACTAGTTGCCTGCTCCAGCAGAGGTGAAAAAAACGAAGGTGAATAACGGGGCATACAGTCGGTCAGAACAAGCGGAGATGCAGGACCTGTGAAGGCTTGTCGGAGTTCACCGTTCTCTGCACAGGGTCGGATGGAGTCATGATCAGCTGACACCAGGGGCGCTGTAAAGAGGAGAAAGCCACGAAGACCCACGAGTCTCTCCAAATCTGTTCATTGGTAATGAGGCTTTGTCATTTGTCGAATTTTGTTGATTTTCCAGCTCGAGACTGTCCCAGGCCCTCAAATGTGGCCTCAAAACTTGCCACATTGCCGTACCGGCTTCTGCTTATGCAGATTCGGGAACTTGGGCAATAAAGCCGTGTTCGACCAAATTTCAAAATGCCCAACATGCTGCGGCCTCGAAAAGTATTAGGAATTCAGCGACCACACGGCAGGAAGACAAGGTATCGCCAGGTGATGCTAGGATGTTGTTGTTCTGTTAGAGACATCCCAGGTCTCCATCACGCGGGAGCCGGGCCATGAGGACCCATGAACCTGTCTTTGGCAGTCCAGCTGTTCAGCTATCAGCGAAGCCAGCAGGCCCTGGATGGACTGGGAGGTGGTGTATCCCATGGCTTGGAGATCCGGGTGCGAAACTCGGGGCACCCGAGGAGCAGACCGAGCAGCGAGTGGCAGCGAGTGACAGTGAGGTGCACGGAGTGCCTCACGGACGCCCTCTTCCTGATCTGGTCGAAGGTGGGCTTGTGGCAGTCTGCCCAGAGCTGGTTCCTCGGAGTCTCGAAGTCAGATCTAAGCAAGTTCTCGCCTTGTGGCTGCATCCTCGAGGTCGTCGGTTGGCACGGACACCCGCGACTTGCGCATACCTGTGGCAACTTATCTCTACGACCAGCGAATTGCTCCTTGCTTGCATCACTTGCTTTTCTGCACTTCAGACCCCCATTGCCTCAGAACTCAGGGTGAGGAGTTTGGAGGGACACTAGATCAAGGTATGACCTGCAAGATGGGCAGAGTCAGTAAGTTTCGTACCCCAACACGAGGAATGCTCGATGATGGCTGATGGAAGCTCCTCTCCTTTGTCCAAGGAACTTTCTGCTTTCCTCGACGAGCACTTCATCACTGCGGCCTCGAACGCGCGCTGCTTTCTGTCGCCGTTGTCAGGCTCACCCTCACGTCCGCCCATACTGGTCTGAAGCATTGGCCACATGTTGTGCCTGAGTGGGGCATGGCATGGTGGACTCAGCTTTGCTAACGTGTGCCTTCGCCTATCTAGCTAATGCCAGCTTGCTTGGGCAAAACCCATGAGTCAATCAATGAGCATGTGTGCGATCTTGGTTTTGCCTCGTGCCCTGTCAGGTGCATCCCGAACTCCTCAGTGGGGGTCATGCCGCCTGCGTTGTGGAACACACTTCATGACTCGGCAAGCTGCGAGACGGCAGACAGACCCAGCAGTAGCAAGTTGTATTGCAATACAATGAACTCCAGCAGGGTTGAGCGGGATGACAGAATAGAATCTCCACTCAGGCCTCTCGGACTTTCACGGTCTAACCTCGATGGGATTTCCAGAATGCCTGTGGCCAGGCAATTTCTCCTGCGTTGTTTGTCGTCGACAACATCGCTCAAAGCCGTTACGATCTTGCTCTTCGAATGCCGCGGTGCCAGAGCGGACCGTGAGGGCTTCCAGCGAAGATTCCGGGATGCTTCCGCAAAGGGCTCTTACAAACACAAGAGACCGGCAGAGCCAAACCCGCCTCTACTCAGACTCCACTCTGACCATGCCTTTCGTCCAGAATCGGGTGCAGGTGTAATTTGTGTCCGTGTCGGCAGGACCCAGATAGTCCTCTCAGCGGGAATCTGCTTGGTTTCGCCTCCCTGGATGCCTCTTCGCTGATCGGGCCGGTCTAGATTCATGCAGAATGCGACAGTCTCCCAGGCTCAAAGCTGAAGAAGATGAGACGTCTTTTGCAGGTCAGAGCCGATGTCCCGTTCCTTTCTCTTGGATCTTCGACTCCTCGAGGTTCCCTAAACCCCACGTCACAGGGTTTTCGCTTGAGTCTCGCATCGCTAGGCACCTGGTGCCTCCACCTCTCTGGAGATCGAAGCTCGAGTACCTGCCTGTGGCCATTTCGCTCCATGTGTCGCTTCGTTCTAGTCTTAGTCTCGTCTGCAAGGTCTGGCCGCGGGGAGGTGGAGGTACTGCAGAGGGGCCGCACGGAAAGCTCGGTCCCTGTCTTCCTCAACGGCAGAAGCCCGTCGTCGTTCACAGCTCTCTGCACTCAGGTCAGCACCTGCTCCAGCATCGGCACTGGCTCCATCTGCTTTTGACTCGGCAATCGTTTGCAGCGTGCACAGCCTGCAGGACACTGTTCTTGCACTAAGGCTGCACTGGCTCAGGAAGTGCAGGACTTTAGGCCGCAATGTCCGGGAAGAGCATCATGCGGAGAGAAGCTGTGGATGGCAAGCTTGAAGCTTGAGACAGGCTAAACCACGAGCTTTCCGTTCAGCTCTCTAAGGAGTCGCTCGCTCAGATTATTGAGTGCATCCTTGAACGCCCTGCACCACACTCTCGACTCCCGACGAGAGGTTCAATATGCGCGCAGCCGCACTTAAGCGAGCTGGGGAGGAGATCGTGACCCTCCGGAGGCTGCGATATGCAGGGCGATGTACCGATGTAGGGAGCTTATTGAAGCACAATCTGGAGACGACTGCAATCACCGCCTGACCTGGGCCAGTTGTCCCTTCGGGTGCGACAAACGTTGTAGTGCGGGACACATGACCGGTCGACAAGCTTTCCACGCATTTCCGCCGTCGGGAATAGATGGCAACTTATGTAGGAGCTGCCGTGCTTTCTGCTCGAACTCAGACTGGCCCGAAGAGTCGTCCTGACCCTATGAAATATTTCTCTGTGAAAGCTTCTAGCCCTCCGTCGTTGATGTCGACAACTTAGGGTTGACATGCCGGGAAACACGCAGATCGTTTCACACACAGGACTTTCGGCCGGAGTTGTGCAGAGCGTTTGTGCTTCGCGCTTTTGAGACTCGCCATTGTTCCTGTGTCACAAGTACATAGGTACACAAACGCTTGGTCGCTTGAATTTCAGGCAGGTGCAGCTGTTGAAGAACGAGAACAGATCTCTTCGGGCACAGGTGGAGGATGAGGAGTGCTCGAAGCACGCTTGGTTTTGCAGACACGGCGTCAAACACATGCTGCTTTACATTTATGAACCTTGTCTTGCAGCGTGCTATGAGGAAAAATTGGCTCCGACCTTACCAGATATGATGCCCGTGATCTGGACGTGGATGTCCATAGCCCGGATGGACCGCCCAAGGCACACGAGGTCCAACAGCGTCCTCCACCTGAAGGCGGCCCTGCAGAGTCGTTTCTCTAGCTTCGCCTTGTCGATCAACAGCAAGGCCTGGAGAAGTTGAGTGCAGCAGTGCTGATCTGAGTTTGAGAGTCTTCGCAGTTTGTCAGAGTACTGCAGCAGTTCTTACGTCCCCCCACAGCAGAGGTTGTAATGCTCAGCGGTTTCCGGCTCTCGCAGTGGCACGTTGCGCATTTTTGACTAAACGTCGCGTTCTGTCCACAGTCTCGACGTCATTGTTCAATCCAGTACCTTGGTGATCCCAAACCGCACAGAGCAGTGCGTAGTTTGGTCCACACTATTCGTCCTCGGGGCTACTTGGTGTGGCCTCGAAGTCCCGTCGTTCTGAGCGGAGTACAAGTAGGACTTTGGCGAATCGGAAGTTGTGGTTGCCGCAATGCCGAACTTCGCCACAGTCACATGTCTTGGGGTTCGACTCGTGCTCCTGCTACAGTGCGCGGGGGGGCGGGTGCACACTTCCCTGGGGGATGTCGGAGCCTCATGGGTGCTTGTGTGGGTGAGCTAGAGCCCTTCTCAGGCGAGAAGTGGGTGGTGAACCGCTCAGTAACTTCCTTTCCCCATTCGCCCCCTCCTTGACCCGATGACCACCGTAGTTCGGATCCACTGCACGGTCTTTACGGGACTACGGCGGGCAAAACCGGCATGCTATGATAACCCAAGTTGCCTCGTGAGTGTTCACTAGTGTTTCCCCCGTCTTGATGTAGCAATCGCAATCATGCCCAGCCTTGAGATCCAGGGCTTGTAGCATTGTTCGGGTTGCAACTGCCGAGGAGCTGGCTGGAAAGCTCCAGCGGACCTTGGAGAAATATCGAGAGGAGAAGGCGCAGACTTGCCTGGCGGGAGCTCAATCGGACCTGGTCGATCGCCGGAGGCAAAGGCTTCCGAGCTGACCCGACGGATGGAGGAGGCGCTCAAAGAGGCGCCCGGCGGCCGGTGCCTTCCCTGGTTCCTCCGTCCTGTTGAAGCAATGAACTTGCAGGTGAATCGTGCTCGCGGTTTGGAAAGATCACTGGAAGAGCTGGGTACCGAAAGTGAGCGAATGACGGAGTCGGCCCATCGTCAGCCCAGCGCGCTCCAGGTTGCAGCAGGTGCACCTGGAGCAGAATCGAGAGCTCCAGCGCCTCCAAGACGAGGGTAGGCTTGGGAAGAGTCGAGTTTTCTCAATGATGGGCTTAGCAGCACTGTGCTTTTGGTGTGCTTTCGGAGAGGAAGTTAGACACATACCGGCAAACAGCGAAGACGCAGGAGAAGGTGTTTGTCTTAGTTTGTGGGTGCTGCGCGAAGGTATTTTCCTGAACACGATTGAACACGCATTTCGCAAAGTGAGGTCATTTCCAAGTTGGAGAAGATCCTGGAGAGCTCCTTGCAGGAGGCACCTTCAGTCTCGCAGCTTCGTAGACGTGGGTCAGTGGACCTGAGCTCGGAAGGTGCAGAAAGCGCAAAAGGTGCAGGCGGGACCTCGGCTGGATTCAACACGGTTGCGGCAGCATGCTGAACCTGATTCTCCACAATTTTCTCACTTTTGCTCGTCTTTGGGCAGATGCAGTCGCATCACCTTGTCTCCCGATCCCGACAAGGGCAGCTGTGCATGTGAGTCGGATAGAACCAACGTGATTGTGCCCAACAGCTTGCTCTGCAGGCATTCCGAATTTATTCTGCAGAAAAGTCGAGAACGTGACAGCACACGTGCGTACGAAGCCCCAAGTTCACAAGTACAGCTCTTTGCAGCTTGCTGACTGTTGACCATCAAACACGTGCACATGGCATCTTCACCATCGCCGCCCCCATTCCTCCACATGAGCATCCGTCAAAACTTCCGCACTTGTAGTCAAGAGGAGGGTGACCGTGGAATGTCGGATTGTGCCAATTTCCTTGAAAAGCGATAGGACCCCCCCAGAAGTGTTGGGATATTCCCGTGCAGCCGCGGCATTTGTGCCTAAATTTTCCGTGTGATATATGGCTAGGCAATCGATACCCCAATCGATACCCAATCGATATCCAATCGATACCCTAGTCGATACCTACTGGATCGTTTTATAGGGCCACTGCCCCATGCATTAAAGGGCAGCAGAGTGCAGTAAAGGGCTGTAAAGTGCAATTAAGGGCAGTAAAGGGCAGTTCAACGGCAGTAACAGGCAGCAAAGAGCGGTAAAGGGCAGTAGAAGGCAGGTAAAGGGCAGGTAAGGGCGGTCAAAGGCAGTAAAGGGCAGCAGAGGGCAGGGCAAGCTACGAGTAAGATCAGTGAGTCTGATGGTCTTCTTACTTTCACAAGAGCAAGCGATACCTCACAGACACATGTGACGGAATCCTTGTAAAGCGATAGGACCCCCCAAATCATCCATGGTCTAGCCATGAACAAGAAGTTTTGACAAACGCTCACATGTAAACATTCAAACCCAGGCCGCCGAGGCCGGACTCGGGCAAAGGTCAGAAGGCTATTCTGCTTAAGGAGAGGGCGGCGGGCAACATGTGTTACCCCCAAGTAACCGGCTAGTCAGCTGTGTCGAACCTCCCACGTAGACGGCTCCGTGGCCGGAAGTGACAGCACCAGGTGGACATCGAGCGTTTGAAGACCGAGAACCTGAAGCTCAGCAACTCGGCTGCGAGAGCACTTGGGTCCAGGGTCCAGATTAGCACTTGGCTGGTAGTCTTATGGCAAACAGCGCATCTTGTGAGTGCAACCGAAGAGCTCGCAGGGGAGCGATGTTCAAGCTTGCTCACACGAAAGAAGCAGCTTGGTAGCAAAGATGCGGTCGGATTATCTCCGATTGAGCCAGGGCCAGGGCCACCGCTGAGAGACTGTCGGAAGGTTAGACCATGTGGGAGACACGAGCTTTCAAGCCCCTGGGCGTTTTGAAGCTGAGGGAAGTTGGCGACGATGAAGCGCAGGCGCTGCGACCACGAAATAGAAGCGTCTGTCATAGCAGGTCGTCTGTTGCTTCAGAGCCGGAAAGAGTTTGCAGTCAGTCCTTCCATCGAGCGAAACTCGAGAATCATGAACAGGAGCTGCGGCAGCGGCTTGCAGAGAAAGATGCTGAAATTACCCGCCTGCAAAAAGTCGTCCTGCCCTAAGACTGGTTCGGGAAACAGTCCTTGGTTTTTTTGTCACAAAGCCAGTCAGCAAGTCCTTGGTTTTTTGTCAGAAAGCCAGTCAGCAAGACCGTATTGCTGCCTTTGGAGCAGGCAGCTTCTCTGAAGATGAACAATGTGGAAGTCGGTGAGGACTGGACAGTTGCCCTTCTCATGTGAATCGACCACATGCGGATTGGTCTGGAGTCAAGGAGACCGTCCTGCCTTCGTCTTCACCTGGTACCGCAGCCGGAATCCGATTTTTCAACACCATGATCCGCTCTCGAAGAGTAGCATTGTCGTCAGCGGGCTTCCTGCATGAGGGCATCTCTGCACCGAGGCCTTGTCGGCTGAAGAGCCGGGTCCTTTCGAGTCGCAGATCCACGGGCTGTTAGGGGCTAGGGATGGTTAAGACGAACCGCGTTCCAATTCTCACAAGCTAGGGGGTACGCACGGGCTGTTGAATTTTACTTTGCTTTCAGGCAGGAGCAGCTGGCCCACCTGGAAGCCAAGCGCTTTGTGCGCAACTCAGGTCACCGCAATCGTGAATGATCAATAGTTCAAATTAAATGACTGTTTAACAGTCGCCGAGCCAAGCTCTGTCATCTTGATCACGTTCAGGCAGCTTGGCTAGCTGGTCCGCTTCGTCTCTAATGCACTGCTCATGCTTGTAACAAAGAGGGTTCGGGCGTGCCTGATATCGAATTCTCGCGCGACTCTATTGGCTGATGTCGCTCTACGAAGAACCTGAGAAGATGTTCCAGCCCGTTTATGTGGCATCAAGGGTCATGCAGCCGTGTCGCGATTGAAGAGTGCGCTTAATTAAGCGCCATCGAAGTTTCAGTTTTGTTGCCCACATGCTGCGACTTGTGCAGCTACCGTCAGATAGTCTTGTCTTTCTGGTTCCGTCCATCGAGTTCGGGCACAATTGTGTTGTCTTGTTGAACTCTTGCATGGAATGTGTGCAACGAAGCAACAGTTGTCATCGGGCACCCTCTGTCTTCCCGACGCTTCACAAGAGCTCGACGGGTACACCCAATGTTTTGCAGTCAAGCAGGGGTTGAAGCTAGGCACATGTACTGAGTCTAATAATCTGACCTGCTACAGCTTGCAGTAGAGCCGGTCCCATTTATTTCAGTCAGTGTCGCGAAAAGACCTCGTGGCTGTGCATGTCCACAATGCTTGGGGGATCTTGGGGGATTTTTTTCGAGGAATGGGAGCAGCGATGCGCGGCCGCAGAGCAGCGGCAAATGCCTCAGACAAGACATGTTGTGAGGGATTGAGCCAGGCCTTTCAAAGTGCTGTGTTCCATCATCTTCTTGGCTGTTGTGGTGCTCTGCTTCTGAAGCTGTGGGTGGCCAACCTAGCTAGGCTTCTCCCATCAGAATGTCTACTTCTGAACATCGACAGCTGTGCTTCGTTCTGTAGCTGATCCTGCATGAATCTTTACTCATTATAGAATCCATGAGCTGTAGCCTCAGGCTGCAGGTGCTGCAGCAGCAGCTGACAGAAAGCTCAAAAAGGCCCGCTGGTGGGAAGTCAAAGATTCCGGTGTACCCAGCTTCCCGCCCAACAATGTCCCCGGTATTTGTGAGCTGAGAAACAGGGCGTCCTGCACGCCACCGCTCGGATCAGGTATGGGGCCGAAATATCGTCGTTAGAAGTCGAGATTGCGAAGAAGGATGCACGCATCAAAGAGTGCTTCACCCAGAGTGTTTCAGCATCACGCCATGTGAACCAAGCAATCAGAAATTTTGCGCCAGCTGAACACGCACCCTTAATTGTGTTTGCTTCGCAGGTTTGAATTTCTTCAGAGACAGACAGCGTGAGACTGCCCAGTAGCAGAAACTTTGCAGGTGGACAGTCTTGTCGCGTCTCTTGAGCTGTGATTCGATGGGCTGCAACTCCGGAAATATGGAGGGCGCCCTGTTGATTTAAATGCAACAGGCGTGTTGCTTCTGCCGAAAAGCAAAGAACTAAGTACTGCTTGTAGTGAATCTGATAGACCGCTTTTTTCTATGTCACATCACCGGCAGAGGAGATGGGAAGCACACGCTCGTTGCTGTAGATAGTCCTCTCAAGCTAATGACCTGCTTCGCAGCCTGACGGCTCGATAAACCTGCAACGCAGCAGGCATCGCAGTGTGACTGCCCAGGAAACAACATGTGTTCGGCATAGATTTCGGTATTTGACCGAAGCGGGGTGGTGCGCTGCATCATATTGCATCCATCGTCGCACCTATCGTTTCAGGTACAGTCCGGGCAATCAGACCCGAACATTTGAGTGCCCTCGCGCATGTCTTCCTGAAGATATCCAGTCATGCCCTTCCAAACTGGAATATGCACTTGAAGTTGGGCGGAGTTGTAGCAAGGGTGCTTCAGAGAAGCACGCGTGTGAGTCTAAGGTCAAACAGGATTTCTAGCACGGTGTCCATTGGGAGGCTTTCGGCTTTTGTAGTTCAGCCCCTGCGATCTGAAAACTGATGTGTTTGAAAGATGAGCAAAGTAATTGACAAGGAAAAGATGTGTTCAAAAGTAGAGATTTGCATATTCTGCATATTTAAGCATGCTGAGCCTGTCCTGACCACGTGCTACAGCAAGGTACTCCTCCCAACGATGCAGAGATTCCACGCAGTTCTGGTTCGGAGGCGAGTGTGCAGACGGTTTAAAAGCTGAGAGTGAGTGACAAGCTGCAAGCCCCCGAAGGTCAGCGCGTCCGTCGAGGATGTGGTTCAAGAGGCGAAACTGTCGTAAAGCGGGCCCTCCTAGAGGCTGCTTGTTGCTGGTGGTTTGCACTTCGAGTAGCGAGTGTGTGATCTTGCAGTACCACGAACCGGCTGACGAAGTGTTAGTGGGAACGCAGTCCGAGTACCAGTTGTGCAGTGGGCAAGGCCGCTGTTAAAGCTCAGCTTGGCAGCAAGCTGGTAGAGTAGATGTTCGAAGACCAAACAAGGGTTAACTTGACCAGATATCAGATATGGCTCTGTATGACAGCGTCAGGGTGTCGACTTGACCGTCCGTGTAAACGAGGGGAATCTTTGCTCCGGAGGCATCGGAGATCTCCAAGTTGAGCACGGCCGAAAGGCAATGGCTTCCTTCAGGTTGTAAGTCTTCACAGCATCCCCCGGAAGGTTTCCACAGAAAGGAGCGCGTGCGAAGCTGGTGGGCCTTAAAGCCAAGTCCATGAACGGGAAGGCTGGCAGACTGGAAATTCTTATGACCAGCAGGTTCCTGGAATGCAACAAGAATACATACGAATATCATAAGAATACTACTGATCTTCAGCATGTGTTCGCCTGCAGTACTTGTGCGTCTCTGCTCTGCTGTCTTACAGAGTTTCATTTTACGCTCAAGCCATCCTCACGATCGCATCCTGGAAGGTCGTGAAGATCACCAGCTACGAGAACAGCACGCAACGATACATCGTGAAGCTGCCAGACGGCTCCATGCGCAAGGTCGAGGCGAGGTTCACGGTCCTCTCACCAATAAGATAAGCCCATGGCCCTTGGTGTTCTGAATCTTCGCAGCATTTAACATGGCCACGCTGAAATGCACAGGCATCGAAGCTGCAGTCGACGGACGAGGCAACAACGTCACGGACTGCGTGTGATGCTTCGGAGCGACTGTCACGTCCAGGCACCGCGGCCACGGCTGTCTGTGTGCAATGCCTACAAGCTGCACGAGCCATTGAAGGCAAGATGCATTCCTGTCCCTAATTACAAATCCTTCACCGATCTTCCCCGCTCACGGGGAGACACTCGGAGAGAGTGCTGACAGTACCAGGACAAGTATGCTCATAAGCCGCGTCAGTTCCATGCAAACAGTCGCAGCTGCTGTCAAGCATGGCCGTGATTCCCCACCTACACACCAGAGAATCCTCGTCTTGTTGGCCTCGCAAAGTTCGTCTTCGCTACCATTCCAGACATTGCAACGTTCATCTTATAATCGGAGATTAGGGCTGAAGGGGGGCCGACAGGAAAAGGCCCCTGGGTCTCGGGCTGGTCAGGTCGTTTAGATTGCGTTCGCGCATGCCACTGCAGGGACGGTTTGGGCCCGGGGCTGTGGCTGGCGGGGCTGGACTGGGGCTGGATTTGGGCTTGGGCTTGGGGTTGATTGGGATTGGATGGCTTGGCTCGGCTTGTCTGTGTTCGAGATTCTGCGCTCGCGCCTGCCCAAAGCACGTACGCAGAATCTGGACTGGGAGCTGGGAGAGTTTGGGGCTGGGGGCTGAAGCTTGGGTTGCAGCTGGGGCTCGGAGACTGGGCCCGACGGAGGTTTGTCGGGCTGGTCGGTTCTGCGTCCGCCCCCAATGCGCTTATGCAGAATCTAGGGCATTCCAGGGCAAACCAGGCAAGAGGAGCTTTGGGGACTGTTTGGGCCTCGGGCTTGGGTTGGGGCTGGGCTCTTGGTGGTGCTGGATTTGGGCCTCTGGCTCGGGCTTGCGGAGCCCACGTGCTTAGAATTCAAACTCGAGCCATGAGGGGGGGTGTCGGAAAAGGTCACTGCCAGGACCTGGCTGGAGTCTAGATTCTGCTTTTGTGCTCAACCCAGCCCATGAACTCAATTGTTCGGGACGGTACTCGTACGGTTCGGAACGGTGCGAACCGTCAAATGATAGCTACCATGAACGTCGCAATCATGCAAGCGAGGATTCTACCGGTTGGCATGTCCGCAATGTGCAAGCTGTAAAATGGTAGCGAAGACGAACTTTGCGATATCAACAAGACATACAAGACGAAGCTTCTGTTGATGGCTTTTTCGAGTTTCAGCACAGTTTGTATTTCGCGCGGCTCGTTATTTAGTCAGATCATCTACCAGGACTTTGCCCCATTCCCGACATTTCACGACCTGTCAAGGTCGTCTTGAACAGCGAGACCGGTACATCAAAGGCTTTGGGCCGCATCGCCCCTTTGCCCTGCGAATGGTTGTGATCTGTGATGCAGGTTCTGGCTATGTTGGATTTTGCCAGCTGTGAAGATTTCGAGGAACGGCCGTGTGTCATGATCGGTAGGCATCTCGGGTGGAGTCAAACTGCCTGTCTAAGGAGCTGCCGTTCGACAAGGGCAGCATATCTTTGCTGTTGAGCTCGATGCAGGTTCGTGAAGAAGCGTACTCGCACACAGTTTGTGCACTATCTGTACTCTCGCTTCAAGCGGTCTTTGCAACATTTCATGCGGAATTTTGTGTCGGATTGACAGAAGCACCTGGCGCGGTTTCTGCGGCGGAGCCAGTCACTGCGTTAGATCAGTGAAGACACCGAAATAGAGAAGCCCATGGTGCAGGTTGCCAACGTGCCATTCGACCTCAGCGTGCTTGGCCCTGGGCGTGGAACAGAGCTGACGGCTCCGACCCCAACAGCACGCAACTGTTTCTTGCTGCTCGGGGACGAATGCTTCGAAGTCCTGCTTTTCAAGTTTCTTGCAAATCCAGCGTCAGGTCGCTCCGTCAGAAAGCACGGCGGGTAGGAAATCCAAGGCTCGTAGAGGAGTTTTGTGCATCAGATGCCCAATTAGCACAGCTGGTTGTCCTTCAACAGTTGAAAGACCTTCCTGTAAGCTGCTATCGACCTTTTGCTTTTCGCGGCCAGGCGAAGGTGCTCCAAAACATTGTCGAGCTGGATGATGGTGCCTGACATGTCTGATCACGTCTATACCCAAATCATGCCATGCCACTGTGATTACTTGATAATATGCAGTCGCTCAGATTCACGCATGCAGGAGGCGCCTACTACCTGCATTTGGTCAACGCGCACGTGGGATCAAGGCTGGGCTCAGGTTCGGATCACAACCAAGAGTACCAAGCGTGCTTCATTGGATTTGGCCGTGTGGATTGCCTGTGCCGGGGCTGGTCATACTGACGTCGAGAGCTGGATGTGCTCAGCAGCTGTACTTGTAGTGCATCTGCCACCTTCTTGCATGCGGCAGCATGTGCCAGATTACCTCTCTGCAGGTCAGTGCAACTTTCCGTTCAACGCGGACCTGTCGCAAAGGTTTTGCCCATGGACAAGTCGTGCGACCTAAGTATGGGAATCGGCCTGCGTGTTTCCTTATTTGTGGTGGTTCTTTGCAGCTGCTGACTGCGACCCTTCTGGCAGATTGCAGGTATCGTCTGGAGCGTGTCGAAGACATGTCCCTGACGCTCATGGATGGGGAGAGACGCTTGCGGCTCGTCGCTTGCTTAGCAATCGTTCAAGCCGCAGCAGGTTGTGACCTCGTGGTGGAGCACGCATGAAACATGTCCTAGGCCTTCAACCCGCAGAAGTCACGCACGTACTGCGCTATCGTCACAGGCTGGCAGACATGCAGCATCTCGCCCGCCTGCTGATTTCTCCATTTCTCTTTGCTTCGGCTAGCCACGCTAGCCGAATCATTACCCACTGTGCCTGTTCGGAAGCATGGGGAAGCTTCGTGAAGCCATAGTTTGGGTATGACCACCGGGCACATGTGTGCCACTTCGGTCGGGCCACTGGTATTCCCGAAACAGTGTAGCAACACTAACGGTTCCGCGAGCAACGCGGTGGCACGGTGCACATTCTCGACTAGACTGGTGCTCTGCCCCGTCCCCCTGGACTCTGATTTCGTCATCAAATACACTAGCTCAATGCTACCCAACTTGAAGCGCCGTGCTCACCTGTGCTCGTACTTTGGTCAATTTGGTGTGTTTTGCAGCCTCGTGCTCGTTTCGACCTTCAAAATGAAGTCGCTAAAGTTGCCACGCTTCTTCGCCTCCCGGGGAATTCTTGGTGGTAAGCAATCGCAATCTTCTGCGCAGACTTTGCTGCCACATGCACGGTCGCATTTTGGACTGACGAGGTGGTCTTGAGCTTCATGGATGCTCCTGGCATGGGTTTTGGGTATGTGGGGCTTTGACTGCTAGGTGTTTGTTCACTGTTGCTGGATGGTGAGGGTCTGCATGCGTCTCTGCTGGGGCACAAAGACCTTGTGATTTCTCCCGGTTGGGGCAGGATGCACCATTCGGGCGGCCACAGGTTATGAGTCTATGGCGTTAGGGAGGAAGTTCAACTTGTGCACAGGTGGCAGCGACGGAGAAAATCAAGATGCACAGAGGGTTGGTTTGGTCACGGCCTTACAGTACCAGACACAAGTCTCACACAATCCTTAGGCTCCAAGTGCATTCCACATCTGCAAGGTCTTGCACAAGCTGGGTGAGTGGACATCCGCAGAGCAGCTGGACAAGGAAGCTGTGTAACCGTGAGCAGCTAGTATCGGGTTCGCACATCGCTGAAAGGAGCGTGATGGAGCTTGTGTGTGTGTGTGTGTGTGTGATGTTTGTGTGGCAGCATGGGCAACCTTCCTCAATCGATTTCCGCTCGAAGCTCGAACAATACAATTCATCAACCCCTGCAAGCAGAAACCCTGAGAAGAATTCCAAAACAGGGCTTTCGTTGTCTCCGTTATTCCCTGCTCAATCAGTTCCGGAATTGATGTGTCTGGTGCTGAAAATGCTAGATGTCGTAGTATTTAAACTTTGCATTACAATCTTCCCACGATTCAACAGGTGCGGTAGAGCTGCCTTTTCAGCGAGGTATGTTAGCACTGAGGAACGAATAGTTGTGACGCAGGGTTTAGGGACCAGCATGGCCGCGCGCGCGGCGGGGGCTGGGCAGGAGTAGGAAGAAGGGCGGGAAGGGGGGACGTAGATGGAGGGTATTGGAGATAACCCCCAAGACACTGGGGCGGATACCAAACAAAAACCGCTCTTCGCGCGTTCATATCAACGTCGAAGCCAATAATAATAAGATAGTGGTGGAAGGTGAATAATTTCTTCTTATTTCTTTTATCTCTCTTCTATTATTCTCTTCTCTTTTATTCTTTCTTTCTCTAATTAATAATTTGGTAGTATTTGTACCGTCGCCGATATATATAAGAAAAATGAGAATAATAATAACATTAATAGGAATATTAATGATACTTATATATAACCTCAATCGATTTATCTTTCTCTCTTCTTTCTTATCTCTCTATCTCTTCTCTCTTTTCTCTTTCACGATAAGTATAGTATGACAATTTTTCTTGCTTATATATATAATGTCGATATATTTTCTATTTACTATAT